AAAAAAAAAAAAAAAAAAAAAAAAAGAAATGCATCGAGAAGCAGAATTAAACACAGAGATTTCTCATAGAATGATAACAAAAAATCTTTTACATTCTCTGGATCGCTTTTCAGCTAAACAAAGAAATTTCTTGTAAAAAGGATTGCAAATCCTTATTAACAACGATTAAATAGATAAAATAGAAATATCGATCGGTGAACGATTTTCACGGTGGACTCGTGAAATATGCTTACGTTTTTCATCGCCGCGTCTTTTCGCGAATATCGTATCTATCAATCATTTTATTTTTTTTCTCTCCCTCGATAAAAGTATACTAATATAATACGCTATAAAATACGAGTATTATGTATAAGTTTTGTAATCACTTTCTAAACGATATTCAATAATTACAGTGATAATAATTAATAATTATAGATTAATTATACGACTATACATTTAACATATTTTGTACAATTGATAAGCTTCGAAGGTTCGACGGCGCATCAGAAATCTCCATTGCGCGTTTCTTTTCTATTTTTTTTTTTGTCTTTTTTTTTCTTCTTCTTTTTTTTTTTCTTTTTTTTCACTTTCGAAATTATTATCATTCGAGAGCGCTCGATTATTCGATTTTCTCGAGTGAATCGTGGGTTCGAGAACATGTTTACCGGACTCCATTTTGTCAGACTCGGTGGAAGCGCAGCGATCCACCGAGTCGAGCAATCGGTGAGAGAACAGATCTCTCGCCGATCATTTCACGATCGACTCCGTGTATCGCAACGCTCCATGCTTTTCTTTTTCTTTTTCTTTTTCTTTAAATTTCAGATATCTTTTTCAATCGATCTCGATGTTGCAAAAACGCGAATGAAAATTTCGCGATCTATGTTTCGTACGAATCCGTTATACCATATATCGCGTTGAAACGTGGTAAATATCGATTCGAGATGAAATAAATATCAATACATCGTTGAGCAAAAGAAAAATCAATATCCTTTCGACGAGTACCGTTGTCACTCGTTGATGAAAAGACTCGGCGAGATCTTATCTTATACCCGACAATATCATTATCTGTACGAACGACAAGATATTAATAAAAGATAAAAAGAAAAGAAGGGGGGGGGGAAAAAAAAAAACTAACCAACACGTTGAGGAACAACGGCACGAACGGATCTTGTTTCTCTCGTCGAATCAAATAACACGCGAGTATGTACGATTGTTTGGTCGTTACCCGGGAGAAGAAAAAGAAAGAAAAAAAAGAAAAGAAAAAAAGAATGGAAAGATGGATCTCGAAAAGATCGATAAGGATAAATTAGAAAATTTGATCACGATCGAACGGATGTGCACTCGAGTCCCGGGTCGAGTCTCCGATCGAATTTAAACACGATGGAAGGATCGATGAAGAAATCGCAACGATGGAACGATCTCGCTGTATCACACACGATTGTGGAACCGATCTCACCTTCTTTTTTTCCGATTGATAGCGGCGGCGACGACGACGACGACGACGACAACGAAGACGAAGACGACTACGACTACGACGACGACGACGACGACGACGACGAACACGAAGGCGAAGATGGTCGGATAACGGGGTCCACCGTCGTTCCCTTCCGTCCACGATGCTCGAACTCCTCTCGAATCACGCCCTAAGATGGACGTTGTGGTTATTGTTTTTCTTTTTGTGCGTCTCGAGGTGCTTCATCATGTGGTCCTTCCTGATGAATCCCTTGCCGCAATTATCACAGGCGTACGGCTTTTCGCCGGTGTGGAGGCACAAGTGCCGCCTAAGGTCAGTTTTGTGGTTGAACTGCTTGGGGCATATCTCGCACTTGTATGGCTTGTCACCGGCGTGCTTCTGCAGGTGCTCCGCGTGCAGGTACTCGAGGGGGAACCTCTTACCACACTGATTGCATTTGAACGGCTTGTCGCCAGAGTGGAAGCTCTTGTTGTGTTGCGTCAGGTAGCAAGCCTTGTTGAATACCTTGTCGCATTCGATGCACTTGTGAAAGCCGTCCTGGGAAATGTAGTGCGAACCGGTGTTCGTACTGGTCACCTGATGTTCCTTGGTGATCACGGTTCCGCTCTTCGATTTGTACGAACTCTTCTCGAATTGTCTGCCCACGTTCGGATTCAACTCCTCCTTCCCTTGAATCATCGAATTATTGCTGGGCAGATTGTTGTTCGCCTCGTGGTGGTCCCGGCTGGACTGGTGAATCGAGTGCGGCGGCAAATGATGATGGGTTTGAAATTGGTACTGTTTGATGATCATGCCGTCCGTGTTCGGTTGCATTTCGACCGCTTGCGGGTCCATGTTGGCCAACGATTCGTATCGAGGCGTCGAAGTTCTATACGGGACGAAGTTCGATTCGGGCGATTCGAACGATCGATCTTGAGGAGAGACGTTCTCCTCCGAATTCAGCCCCCCCACGTTAACGGCCTGCGCTTGATTTTGGCCGATCAAAAACCCGGCTACGTTGAACTGAGTGAAGCTCGGAAGGGGCCTTTGATGGTTGCTAAAGGTCCCGAAACCGGGTAAAACATCCTGAGATTGCTGCTGGTGATGATGATGATTCTGTTGTTGCTGTTGTTGCAACTGTTGTTGTTGATTGTGTTGCTCGTGCTGGTGTTGAGATTGGCCCGAGAGCGATAACTCGTTCATCTCATTACCAGTAGTAGTTAGCTGGATGGTGATAGACTCCAGCAGGCCCGGGATGTTGGTAGTAGTTATAACGTGGGGGGGCAAGGCGTTTGGGTACGGCTGATGAGGCATCGTAGTACCCCCCATCGCTGTGGGCGAAGCCATTGCTGGGTGGACCGAGGCCGGCGTTATGGGAGATGGAGAAGTCATGTGGTGGTGCGGGTGGGACGAGCCCATTGGCGAAGGGGAATTCAGGTGGGGTGCCGGCGGTGGATGCATGGGCGATATGGGAGAACTCATGGGATGGTGGGCCGGAAGTTGGCCCGACGGCGAACCCATTGGCAGGTGATGAAGTTGCTGCTGTTGCTGCTGCTGATGGCCCAGCTGAGAGGACGGGGAACCCATTTGTTGCTGCTGATGGTGACCCGCCAACGGGGATTGGACCGGGGAATTGAGCGCCGGTACCATTGTTGAGCCCAAGTGGACCGCCGAACCCGCCGATTGTTGCGTTAGTCCCGCCGCCGATTCGCTGCTGCTGCTGCTGCTGCTGTTGTTGGAATGATTGTTGTTGTTGTTGTTGTTGCTGCTGCTGTTGTTGCTGTTGTTGTAGAGACTGGTGGGCGTGTGGAGCAGGCCCCTCGCCGCCTCGCCCGAGGGACCTGCCATCAAGTTTGGGGGACTCCCGGAAGAGGATAACTCCGGCGATCTAGGTGGTGGTCCCCCGGCCCTGCCGCCGGAATGGCTGTCCCTACCAGGATGGTGATGGGCGCTGATCGGCAAGTTGGCCGGATCCGGTTGATTGCTCTGTTTCACCGCATTCTTGTGCAACGTGGTGTTGTAGTGCCTCTTCAGATGGCCCGAGCTGGTGAACCACTTGTTGCACGCGGTGCAGTTGTAGGTCTTTGGCCGCCGCGCCTCGTTACTTTTCCACGATTGATTCGCCAAAGGTGGGGGTTTCGGCGGTTGTTGCAACAGACCGCCGGGCATCTGATGGCCCGGCATCGGTTGCGTGCTCGTGATAATCGGGGAGCCCGGATGCCGGGGTGGTTCCACCCCCATGTGTTGCCCCCGTATGAATTGACTCTGATCGGAGAGTGGCGAGACGCTTTCCATCGGGCCCATTGACGACAACCCGTGATAATCGTGGGATTGAGCGGCCGGTGGCCAGCCCAGCATGGAACTCACCGAATGCGATCCGCTACGTTGCTGCTGTTGATGCTGCTGATGCATCACCTGCTGCTGATGCATCTGCATGTGCAGCTCTTGTTGCTGTTGCTGATGAAGTCTCATCAACTCCTCCTCGTATCTGTGAGTCTGCACTTTGTGCGAATCCAGATCGAGAATTTCCGCCTGTTCGTCCGGTTCCTGTTTCACGTCCAGTTTCACCGGTTGCCCTCCGTTGTAGTCGTAACCGGTCTGTTGTTGTTGTTGTTGTTGTTGTTGCTGTGCCTGCTGCTGCTGGCTCGACTGCGGTGGCGACGGATGCATTTGTTGTTGATTTTGTTGCTGAGGACTGTTGCCCAATTGTTGATATTGTTGATGTTGCCCGGGATACGGGCCGGGCGAGTTGGAATGGCTCGTTCTTACGTGTTCACCCAATTGATTCGCGTCCTCGTACACTGCACCGCACTTGTCACATTGCAGAGGCGGGCTTCTTGGACTGGTGGAGCTTACGGAACTGGTGCGTTCCGGTGGAAAATGTTGTTGATGTTGGTACGGATGATAACGCGAATAACTCCCACCGCCACTACCCCCACCCCCACCACTGTTATCTTCCCTGGGCGGTGATGCGTAATGGGGATGGGGCAATATGTAGGCCTGATCGTTCTGCATAAAATAATTCGTCTCGCCGAACATCGGCGTTTGAAAATGATTATAACTCGGACCAGAGGCCTGTTGCTGTTGTTGATGATGATGAGTCTGTTGCTGCTGCTGCTGCTGTTGTTGTTGCTGCTGCTGCTGCTGTTGTTGTTGTTGCGTCGATGATTGTTGAGAGGACGTAGGATCTTGCGAGGGCGGCCTCGAGGAAGATTCGCTCGAGTCCGCCGGTGCGGTCACGCTATCGCGTTTAACACCCACGTGACTATTATGATTACCAGCTTTACTGTTGTTGTTGTTACTCTCCTCCTGTTGGGCCTGGCTCGCCCACTGACTTAGCAGGTTCTCCTGGTGGTATCGCAGGTGCACTTCCAGACTTTTATCGCTTTCGAAATAAAGACCGCAATCCTTGCAATGATGCTCCGGATTCGAACTGCCACCTACGTACTGTTGTTGCTGCTGCTGTTGTTGTTGTTCGACACTCGTCATTTCACTCATATTGTCCCCACTCCACCCGCTTTCGCCTCGCTTTCAGACGTCGCTTTTCTTTCTTTCGTCTTCCGAATAAGAAAGCCTCGTCTTTGTTTCTCTTCTCTCTCTCTCTCTCTCCTCCCTCTCTCACTCTCACTCTTTCTTTCTCTCTCTCCCC